ATATGAGGATGCTGACTCATAATGGTGATGGTAGGGGAGCATGGGAGAAATGGAGGAACTTTAGATAGCGCAAAGGGGAAAGGAGGGGGCAAGGGAGTAGGAATGATGATGTAATAAGTTAAACATCATCACCCTAAGTACATGTTTGAAACATGAATGGTGTGAAAATTCTTTGTGTACAGTGACTTGAAAATTTGTGCTCTATGTGTGTAATACGAAATGAATGCATTTTGCCATCATGTATAACAAATTAGAATAAATAAACAATTTAATAAAAAAATAAGTCTTGCTGGTGCACACCTGTAATCCCAGCAGCTCGGGAGGCTGAGACAGGATTGTGGGATCAAAGACAGCCTCAGCAAAAGCAGGCAGTAAGCAACTCAGTGAGACCCTATCTCTAAATAAAATACAAAATAGGGCTGGGGATGTGATTCAGTGGTTGAGTGTTCCCAAATTTAATCCCCAGCAACCCCCCACCAAATCTAAGTCTTGAAAAACATGGCAAGTACCATGATGATCCAGCATCCTAAGGAATAAAGAATACAGGAGAAACACTCCTTATGGAGGATTTACCTGCCCAAGGCTCAAAGTTCTTCACTAACACAACCTTTACCAACAGAACAAAGTTGAGCTACCTATAGCTGGATTGGTGCTTTTCCATATTTTGCTTAAGGCTCAGATCCTCTATATGTATCCCTTTCTTTTGAAAATTAAAAAAACTTTCAGGAGTTGACCTGAAGTTGAGAGAAGGCTGAGTTTGCAAGTGAAGATCAAGAGATCTATGCTTTGTGGAAAGAAGGTATGTAAAGTCTGGGAATCAAACCAAGGCTGGCATCTTGCTATGCACATAGGAAATCAACCTTTGGTAGGAATGCATGGAATTATACTCCCTATCCAAAACTAAACCACACATGGATTAAAATAACAAAAGAAATTAGGTCTTTCCATTACATATTATGCCATATTATTTTATTAAGTTGAAGATAAGTAAATTTAAAATATTAGCTAGCAAGAAATATAGAGAACAGGGATACCATTATGCCTTCAAGTACTGTTGAAGTGGTCATTTATCTCCCACATACGGGTTGCACCAAATGTCCTAACTCTAAGAAAGCAAATATGAGTACTCTGAGCCAGCAAAGGGTCAAGTAGCCTATATTAGGTCCATTTTCCACTGATGCCAATGATATTACTCTAATACTAAAAAGCCGATACTGATAGCAATGTGTTGGAGTTGATGTTTCTATGCTGACACTGGCATCATTTTGTTGGCTTCAAGCCTGTTGGCTTAGCTCCTCCATAGACAATCATTATTGCATTTAAAGGATTTATTCAATGCCTACTTCACTGTATTTCTGTGCTGGACCTGCTTTTTAAGATCTGACGATATGTGATAAACAATAAACGGCCGCCAAAAATTCAGATAGTGAAACAGATGTTCGGCAAGTTTATATGTGTATAGAGAAGAAAATATATTTACTTTAAAGAGGTGATTGCATAGAAAACTGTGGAAAGAATCAGGTCAAAAGAAATTTTCTGCTCTTCCAATGGTTCCAGAAAATTCCCCCTGAAGTAGGAAGAAACT